TTATTTTCCAACATCCTATTTAATTTAATCACTCACCTTTAAAGTATATTTTTTATTATTCAACCATCTCTCTAACAGAACACCTCATAAATGTATACTAGAATGTCAATTTTTCATGTTTCGTTGCCTTGATATCTTTTCATGAGGTTCCTTCCTTCCTCTTTATCACATATTCCTCATAAAAAAAAAATTCTTATGGCAAGAATCAAGATTAGTACCATATATATATATATATATATATATATTTCGAACTTTCTTGACCATTCATAAAAAGACAACCTTATGTCTTCTCATTTGAAGTTTTAGGTATTATTAATATATTTACAAGAAGTCTTATTTTTTATTTTAGTACTCATATTTCTTTGGGTCTCTAGTTAGATTCTTCATAAAATACGCTTCTCTTACAGTGACTAGATGCAACAACATATTATTGTGAGACGAAGAACTTCGGTTTTAAATTTTGTTTTCTTTTCGAAACCTAATACTTATTTATCATAGGATTTTCTAGAATTTTTTACAAGTAAATCCGAAGATTTTCCATTTATATTTGATTGTGATAGGATTTTTCTTATATTTGAATTCTCTTAATTAACACATTTATAGAAATGTTGTTTATTGTCTCCATGGATTTCTTCCCAGGGATTTCTTTAATGAGAAAGAAATTGTTTTCTCAACTTTTAACACTATATTTTGGTTATTTCTTTAATGAGAAGAAATTGTTTTCTCAACTTTTCACACTCAATAATTTGGTTTAAGGTTGAGTAAGATCCTTGTTTAACTTGAATAAAGATGTGTTCTAAGCTAGAAGTCTTGTATTCTTACTAAAGACTTCATTAGACATTATTTGTTCTTTATTTAAAATTTTCAAATCTTTACACACACTTTTAAAATTCATTTTCAACGGTTTAACATACTTCTAAAATCCTAGCATTATTATATATGGCTTAATGATAAGTGATAGAAAGAAAAAATGTAAATCAAAGAAATCTACATCTTAATGAAAGTCATGGAGAACTTGTAGTGTTTTCCATCCTATTGAAGTAAACTTCTTTATTTGATTTTGAATCTTAATGATCAAAACTTCATTTTTACCTCCATAAGCTAGAGGCAAATCATCCATATTTCCTTAATAATGATCATGACATGAACTTTGCTGACTTCTTCGTTTGGTAAGGCACATTATAGTGTAGGAATGCCATTTTCAATAATTTTCAATAATTCTATATTTATGGTGTCCAAATATGACATCATCCTTGGCTCCCACAAATCATACTTTTCATTGTTGAATAAAGGTGGACAGTTATTAGCTTATCTTTAAGTTTTTTTTTTTTTGTATACACAGATAAGTCCTCTTGTTTTATTGGGAACTCCCTCAAATGCAAGTTTTGATATCAATTGATAGAACAATCAGGATCTAGAATGACGATTTCAAAAGAGCCTTATACATTTTCTCACACATAGATAAAATTGATTAGACAATATAATATGAAAAGCAAGCACACAAAATCTTTATACTTGTTCATCAAAATCATTCTACGTCTAGTTTTTCTTTAAGCACATTTCTTAATAAGTTCCACCAAAAAATAAAATTTTATTATAAATGACTACACAAATCTCTCCAAGTAACAACATTTCCAAGTATCCCAAGTACAAGCTTTTCAAATATCACGAGTATAACCTATCTAGGTATCACAAGTATAACCTCTACAAGTATCACGAGTATAACTTCTCTAGGTATTACGAGTACAATATCTCTAGGTATCACAAGTACAAACCTCTTAAAGTATCCTTTTTAATTCTATTGAGATTAAGAAATCTGAATGGATAAAGGAGAAATACTCTCAAAGAAAGATACCATAACTTAAGCTCATAAAGGACAAATTTCATAGCATGAAGAATTTTACAAAGGTTTTTCACACATTCTTTTCACATACTAGATGATTTGACAATTGTTGTAGACATTATAGGCACATGCTCTTTCTCTTTTGATATTTTCACTTCACGTTCTTTTGGTAGTTTTCTAGTATTATTGTACTTCTTATCTTTCTCTTTCATCTTAACAATCTACTTATAGACATATTACGAATCCAATCATTTTTTAGACTTAGAATTGTTAAGATAAAATTTTCTAGAGAATAAACTGTCTAAGAAATCCAAGTTACAAAGTTTAACAATAAGCTTTAAACGAAATAACTTTTTAAGAAGAGATGTGCCTACTTGGCCTTAGGCGTCTAAAGTGATTGCTCAATTAAAATGAAAATCAAAGTTCTTATACAAGAAGTCATGCAAATTGTCCAAGTGCTAATACAAAGTCTTTTTAAAATAAGAACATACAAAACAGTGTTGCCTTAAATTTTATATCATCTAACATGTTGTTTACATAAACCTTTTGGCAATATGCTTAAGGATTCCTACTCATGAAGAAATAAAACAAAAATATTTCATAAAGGTATCGTCTAAGGATTATGTGCAAAACAATAGGATGTGTTCTCAAGCTCTCTGATTGAAACACTTATTCTTGAGAATCATAAGTACACTGAAGCTTAATATTTTACAATTAAAAATAGTGTTATAAGCAAAAGCATCTTATGAAGAATTCTGTTAATGAAAAGCGCTCTAAACTTTACATCTAAAACAACTCTTCATCCATAAAGCATTTAAAGCTTTATGTTGTTTACTGTCAAATGTTCTATACATCGTCTAACTTCTCTTGAAAGTTATATTTGAACGATGCATTAATTACTAACAAGATGTGTGACAAGATATTTTGAACAAGCAACAACAATTAATGTCTATAAACATTCAAAACATTTAATGGCATTAAATGCATGTACTGTAAAGTGTCATCTTGCTTGTATACTTTGTTCTTGTTATATGTGCAGAACAGAAATACACAAAGGATTGATCAGAACATCTCCACAAGTTGGATAAAGATGTTGAGAGAATTGAAGATCATTCAAGGAATCATTCTCTTGAAGACCTCTGCTTTGACAAACCATACAAGTCACTCTTCAATATAAACTCGGATAAAGCATTGTACCTCTAAAGAAAAGACTAAAGTTTGACCTCCCTCCTAACGGCTACCTACTCTCCTAAAATCAACTCATCATTTAACGATCATCTCTCAAGAAAGCCTATATAAATAAGATCAACTAAAGAGAAAGAGGGGGTTGGTTGAAGCAGAAACACATGAGAGATGAGAATAGAAGAAGAAAACAAGAGAAGAAAAATGGAGAAGAAAGAAAAGGTGAAGAAGAAAATGAGAGAGAGAGAGAGCATGCTCGAGAAAGAGCATCATTCATCATCTCTGCCTCATCTCAAAGCTTATATCGTCTTATGCTCTTCAACTCAATTGATATAATGAAAGAAAGCTCATACAAGATAAAATGTGAAAAGAAAAGGCATCATCACAACAAGTCTTCTACTTATTTTCAAGCCTACAATGTATGATGCTTCCCAAAGAAAAGGAAGACAAAGAAGAAAAGAGAAAAGAAGAAAGCTTTAATTAAATATCTACTCTAAAGTTTGTCTACATGCCCACAGAGTTAACACAAATGCTCAAAGAAGAAAGGAGAGAAAAACTAGAGATCCAACAAAATTCAAGTGCTTCGCTCTAAGCTCATATTGTCTAATGTCCTCAACCAAAAGGCAAAAAGAAAAAGAGCAATTACAAGAATATAGGAATACCTTGTATTGATTAAACATCCATCATATAATCATACACTTGTAGACCAAGACTGATGTAAGAATATTAAACTAGGAGTAGGTAAACTTGGTTTAGACAATTGTCTAGGTTAAATCCAGGAGAGGCTAAACTCAAACTAGTCATGTTGACTAGGGGACCAGAAGTAGTGTAAGAATACTTAACCAGGAGTTGGTAAACTTGGTCTAGACAGTTGTTTAGGGTTAGATCCTAGAAAGGCTACTCGAACTAGTCGTGTTGACTAGGAAACCAAAAGTGGTGTAAGAATACTTAGTCCAGAGTAGGTTAAACTCGTGTAATCTTTGAAAATATTGAACCTCTTAAGAGTTCTTAAGGGAGAACTGGACGTAGCTCAAATTGAGTGAACCATTATAAAAATAGTACTTTATTGTTTTTCTCTCAAAGCTTTTACAAAGTTTTTAAAAATTGTCTAGGTTAGATCCAGAAAAGGCTAAACTCGGACTAGTCATGTTGACTTGGGGCTAGAAGTGGTATAAGAATACTTAATCAGGAGTGGGTAAACTTGGTCTAGACAGTCGTTTAGGAAAGCCTACTCGAACTAGTCGTGTTGACTAAGGAACAAGAAGTGGTGTAAGAATACTTAACCAAGAGTAGGTTAAACTCGTGTAATCTCTGAAAAGATTAATGAAATATCTTAAGAGATCGTAAGGAAGAACTGGACGTAGCTCAGATTAAGTAAACCAGTATAAAAATAGTACTTTATTGTTTTTCTCTCAAAGCTTTTACAAAGTTTTTTAAAATGCCATTGTCATAACGTATTCTTATTTACCTATCCAATAAGACAAGCATCTAAATGTAGTACATCTCTATATACTCTCATTATAATTCATTAGGACGTTGCTTTACGAAAAATGTTTTAAAACACTATTCACCCCACCCCTGATCTCTCTCTCATGTTTTCCTATGAACTTCAAGAATCTTTTTATTTCAAGCTTCTTCATGTCAACTTATTTTTCTTTGACTATTTAGAAGTGTTCTAAAATCATATTAAGAGTTTTTGTTTCTTATTGATTATGACTTCTACATTTGCATTTTCTTCATTTAAAATTTTCAATTCATATGATTTTGAAGGTTTTTAACAAATTTGAACGGCTTAAATCACCATTAATGTGTATTAGTTTATAGGAAAAGTCTTTTTAGAGTCTTCAAATTTTATACCAATTACTGAATTGATAGAATAATTCTATTATAGCTTTAAAAATAGAGTTATTGCAGCAAATTTCAGTATAATTTCCCAATGATAATGAATAATACAAGTAAGCTCATAATTATCACAAACAAATATAAGTAGACAAAGATTGTTTGCAAATAAGGAAATGAAATTGAAAATATAAATGACATGAAATATTTTTTACTTCATTGTTGTGAAGGAGATGATGGATGTTCAAGTGATTGATATTGGGGCAAAGAGGAAGTTTTGAAGATTTGTAAGAGCTCGATGAAAGACTATCTAAGCAACAAAGCTTACAGCTAATTGTTCAATGAGTTGCACTTGTCTTTCTTTCATTGCTTGTAGGTGTTCTTCAAATGTAACACTTTTTGCACAATATTGATCCATTCAGATTTGCTTACTATTTAGATTGACCAACAACTATATCTGACAATACAAAACAATTCATGAATGAATATAAGAAATTGTTTTTATGCATGTAGATGACATCAATAAAAGATTATTATCTATAAATATTATAACACAAAATATAATTTTACCTGATTGTAACTTCTTTTAATTGAAGTTCTAATCTTATCGTTGACACGGTGAACTTCTTGTAAAGATCTTGTCTCCATGCTAAAACAATATGGCTTCCACAAATTTTTGACCGTTGAAGATGTATTTAATTCTAGTAGAGATTCAAATTCTTTATCCTCTTCTAATATCCATGATTTTGAAACTTCTTCTCTCATTTCATCAAATTTCCAACTTGAAAATATTGTTGCACCAATCTCCAATTTCAAAAGTTCTTTTGCTTCTCTAATGTGTAATTTAACACATTCAATTGATCCTAAATTTTTACAGTAGCAAGAGTCAGGCCTACCTTCTCCAATACCTTTTGTACTATTTTCACTAATATTAGACACTGGCCAAACTTGAATACCTAGCCACTTTAAATCATCATCATTATTATGACATTTTTCATTTGTTGAGTCTTCCCACTTAGGAACTTCAGCTTGAAAACGAGGTCCAATGGGAATAATTGCCCTTGGAATTCCATTATCCTCTGATAATGAGTTGTTTTGTGTTTGATTTAGTTCCATATCTTCACTTTCTAAGTTTGAAGAATGTGAAGTCTGATTCGAATCATCAAAAATCTCCATTAAACAATGGTTCTAATACTTTTGAAAATTTCAAAATTGATTTCTCCTTCATTGATGTCTTGTTACTTACTAGTGGTATACTTAGCAGTAGTTGTGACCAAATACTTATAGTCTTTAGTCTTTCAAAGGTTGTTCACATGTTTGACTGACTCCTCAATATAGGCATCATAAACACCTAGTTGAGGACAACATTCATCATAATTAGCGTATGTTTCTACGTTCTCATCTAGGATGTCATTTATAATAAGATTAAAATTATTAAGAGATAAAAATATTCTAAAAGTCATATCATAAAACACTAATTTTGAATTAATTAAAGAAACAAGTACATTTAAAATAATTTATTGAAGATAGAATGCTTAGTTTGAAAATTTACATCTAATGTAATGCTTAGTTTTAAAATAAAATTTTGTTTTTAAATTTAGAAAAGAAATAATAAAATCATATTTTAAAATATGATTTTTACAATTTGATGTGATAGTTCTCTAATTAAAGTCACGGAGGAGTTAAATTTAATCCTTGTTTTAAATTTACTCATTTCTATAATTTAAAAATCCTATTTTTTTTAAAGTAAAATTTAAATTTGTTTTAAAGTAAAATTTAAATTTTAGGTTAGAAAATAGTATTAAAAGAGTTACACTAAAATTTTATTACAATTAAAACTCTTAAAAATATTATTATTTTATAATAATCGTGTCATTTGACTTATAACACTTTATATTTTAGAAAAATATATATATATATATATATATATTTGAACTGATCAGTGATAATATTAATTAAATAGTACATATAATAGTACTAAATACAATTTTATAACATTAAAAATTAAAATAAAATATTAGTTTATTGATTCTTAATCTTTAATGTACACATAAAAATTCAAATATGTGCATCAGAACACACAATTAAATAAGAACATTGCCTATTTTAACAAATTAGCATCTATAATGAAAATAAAATGCATTAATATATAAAAATTTAGAATATAAAATTCTAAATTATAACTTAAATATAATTGATTAAATTACATGTTTAAAAGAATATAAAATAATATTAATATTTTGTATTGGATTTGAAAAGGGATAAAAATAGACCAAAAGCTATCAACAGGTTACAAATCTGACAAATGGAATTGTTACAAATGTGAAAAACATATTTGTTATAATGGTGAAAAATGCTTTTGTTACATATAATGAATACAGATCTGAAAAACAATTCAGATCTGAGAAACAATTATATTAAAAATCTTAAAATATGTAAATTTTACAAATATGTATTATTACATGTCTGATGATAAACAACACTATTACATATATAGAAGACTCTACTCCTACAAATCTGTATTGTTACGTATCTGATCAACAATACAGATCTGATAATCACTTTATTATAAATCTACCATATTGTTATGGATAGGAGAAATATTACACTCTTCTTATAAATCAAAGAAAAACTACAATTCTGATATGGATTCTGATATGGATAAAGGTACACTATATCATTGGACATCTAAAAGAAATATTTACAGATACAGATATAAAAAGAGTATCTTTACCTTAATAAAAATCAATTTACTTAAATTATAACACAAAACCTAATATTTTGGGATAAAATTTTACATGTATATTATGTGATACATACAGAAATCAAGCAAATTAAGTATCGAAAACATACTCGGTGATGTCGAACAACAGGATCTGGAGTCAAATTTTTCATTGGGCTTCAGAATGAAAATGGCCGAGGAGCAGAAACTTGGGAGATAATGAGAAATGGTAGGGTTAAAATATTTGAAAGTAACAGGAGATTTGGGGAAAAGAAGAAGTTGAAGGATTTGGGACTATGCTGTCACTCTTCCTTTTCCAATGAAGTAGAATGACTAGAATTGCTCCTCCCAATGAGATAGATTGCCTAGAGGCTCACAAAGCCAAGCAGAGACTATTGGTTATTTATAAGCACAAAAGCGAGAATAAGAATAGATATGGATCATGTAATGGGAGATATTTCTGATTTAAAGTATGTGATAATAAAAAGATGTTTTTATAAATAAAATTATTATATTATAATTTTAATTATGGATTTGTTAAGTTAAAAATTTTAGTTGATAAAAAGAATTTTATTCATAAAAAACATACTTCGTATTTTAATAATTTTTATTTTTAATTTAAAATAAAAAAAATAGAAATTATTTAAATATCTTTAACCTTAAAATATAAAATTCATAATATATAAAAATATTTTTGTCAACTAAAATTTAGTACACTTTAAGAGATTACATAAGTTAGCAAACCCCTTTAACATATAGCTTGGATTAAAAAGAAAGAAGAATAAAAAAGTTTTTTTTTCCTTGAGTTGTTTGTATTGCAAGTTAGCTCATGTATAATTGTAGTTTTGATTTATATATTAGTTAGAAAGCTTATAAACCCTTAAGAAATAGAAGAATTGGGAGATGTGTGACTTAAAAACACTCTTAGGTGTTGTTGTCCAGACTTGAGGGCATTTTAAGTCCCACATCCTTTAGTTCTCTCCACTTACTTCACCCTTAAGGTTATATACATAACCTAATGGTCTCCTTTGTACACACACCTTTGATTGAATGAATATAAGAGTGATTTGCATTCATTTGCTTATCTTCTTTGAGATAGAATTTTGTCTCTTAATCATCTTTTGGGTCTTATCTTGTGAGAACAAGTGGTGATCCAACCTTGGCACCTATCTTGGATCATTTCAAGTGGCGTGTCTTCAAACTCCTAAGTTTTCCTATCCTTTCTCTCATCTATTTTAAATCTTTTTAATTCCATTGCTTCTTTGTCTAGCTTAGTCTTAGGCTTACTTCTTTCTAAGCATGTTATTCTATATCAGATGATGGTCAACAAGGACAATTTGTAGAACCAAATGTAGGAGATTCAAATAAAAATGGTGATCCTATAGATTCAATTTTTGGTAACTCAAGAAGATTATTGTTAGATGTTTGGAATGATTTTAAGAAACAAAAAGTAGATGGAAAAGTCATTTTAAGCGATGTGCAATTATTGTTCCAAAAGTCTTTTGGGTGATGCAAGGCAAGGGACATCACATTTGAGAAACCATTTCAAGAGTTACAAGCTTCAAACAACACAAGACATCAAACAATCATTTTTAAAAACTCCTAGTGGTAAAACCTAGTTGTTGGCAATTATGTGTTCAATCAACAAATAATTAGAGATGTGTTTCATGATATGAGTGTCCAATGTCAATGATTGATCACATAGGCTTAAAAGAATTTTGTGTTGTTGTAACACATCTATTTAAGGTGGTTTCTTGAAACACCTTAAAAAGAATATTATGAAGAATTACAATGCAGAAAAAAAGAAAATGAAATTAATGTTGTCAAGGAATCAAAGTCAAGTTACAATTACAACTTATATGTGGACTTCTACTAATCAAAATAGAGGTTAGATGACTATAATAACTCATTTTATTGATGATATGTAGAGGTTACAAAGTCGACTTGTGAGGTAATAACACAATTTATTTTAATTATAACTTTTATCTTAACTTTGTTCTTATTGACTAAATTATAAAAATTTGACTTCCAAATTTAGGTTTATGTATGTGTCTGCTCCTCATACAAGTCAAGTTCTTGCCAAATTGTTGGTTGAATGTTTAATGGATTGAAATCTAGGTAGAAAATATTCTACTTTAACAGTTGATAATTACACTACAAATGATGTTATGATTCATCGTATTTTAGATACTAAGATATGAATGGAATCATTTAACATGCTTTTTCACATAACATGTCAACAAACATATTTTCAAAGATAGAAAGAAGGCTCCATGAAGTTGTAACTTCTTTTTCACGCGGGCAATAGGTTGGCCTGCCTTGCCACATCCCAAACCTACGTGGGCTACGGGTTGGGCCTATGAAAGTTGGCAAACCTAAAATCTCAGCTCACCTCACTTTCTTCATACAGATTCACGTGTTGGCCTGTGTAACCCGCTACATTTTGTCATCCCTGATTATATTAGAGAAATATGTTATTTTTTTTTATTTCACTATAATTATCTTAAGCATATTGGTTTTTGTCTTGAATTTTAATTATTAGTGATTGTTAAAATTATTATAGGGGAAAAGGTAAAAAAGATCTATGGGAAAGATACATTTAGAAGAAGGAATAATTGTTAATTTGAATGATTAGATACTATGGGTATGTCTTTTTTTTATTATCAAATCACTAAAGACACAATAGTTGGAGCACTACCATGAAACGAGCACTATTGTGAACCACCCACAAAAACTAGCAACACACAGGTTAACAACAGCGCCACCACAAACATCGAACATCGCAAGGACCAACCAACCACCCGCAACATTAGTATCTTACTCCTTTCATAGCACAACAAGATCAACCAACCACCTGCAACACCAACACCTTCCTCCCTCTTCACAACATCAAAAGGATCCACCACTTGTAACATAACATACACCAAAGTTGGGCTACAAAGCATATTCAAACAACTTGGATGAAGAGAATTGGTTACATGTAGAGTGAATTGATTTTGTCTCCACACTACCAACGCATAATTGATTCCCTTAAAGGAGAACCTATTCTCTTCCTCTCTAGCATGAATAGTTAAAAGCATGGTAAATTGGAATTTAAAATTATGGGCGTTTACGTAAATCTAGGTAGCGAGTTATGTTTCCCTCCTCGTCCCTTCATTCATACAAGGATGGAAATCTTCCATTCTTCCTCAAATTTGTCTACGTAAATCGACGATAATGCTTGAAAGCAAATAGGATGATGATGAATGCATATTTATAATCTCATTTAACCATTAATATAAGTTTCTTAATTGGTTTATTAGCTTAAAATATTTTTTCAATTAGGATTTATTCTAAGATAGCTAAATGAGCTTGAGATGAAAAAATATGTTAAACGTAGATTTTTAGTTGTATAAACATTCTTTAGATATTTTGAGATGTTTTGTATGTAATTGAAGCTAAGGTCATGGATTATCTAAGTTATAGGAAATCAAGTCAAGGATTACTTGAAGAAG